GGGAAAGGCAGGTCCAACTGTTTCAAGGATGCGGGTCAAAAAGTGCCAAAAATAATAATTCAGTTGATGAGAGAGGAGATGAGATGACAAAACGAAGAACTGATCAAATATTTGGGAGGCATCCAGCAGTTTCGGAGATCCAATAAAAAAAAGTAATAAAATGTTATTTGGCGGTACAAAATGATCATTTGACATATGCACATCAAATTATAAAATATTTTATAGAGAACTTTTTAATAAGTATAAATTTTATTTAAATTTGTATGGGTTCCGTACCAATGTTTATGCGTTAGACTGAAACGCAGCGCTTACGTGCTTCGATATTTTGTCGCTAAAACTGCTCAGCAGCGCGATTGCATTGAAAAAACAAATTTGAAATGAAAAAATCAAAAATGCCTTTTTTTTCAAAAATTTCAAAATTCTCAAAAATCTTTAAAAAAAATCAGTTTTCGGTACAGAAATAGTTCCAGCAATTTGCCTTAAGCATAATGCCATATTCCGCTAGTTTTATTTAAAATTTTTACCAGTCCGTGTAATATGACCAGAATTTCTCGGACCGCAGCCCTCGCCTTGGCCAGCGAATTAAGATGAAAAGACCTTGTGCCGTGTGTGTTCGGTCCGCGCGAGCACAAGCAGGCATATATACGTTTTATCGCCGATACACTCGTACGTGAGTAAATAATATATTCAAATTGATTTGTTGTTTAAACTTTGCACAATATGACCGACAAACAGTCAACCAATCAAACGCCATTAGAACTAAGAGATCTCCACTCGGATCACCCACGAAAACAACACACATTCAACATTTCGATTCCTAGATATTATATGTATACATATATAATATATACATACTAGATATGTATATATTGTGACGACGTCACCATGACAATTTTGCAATAACCGACTCATTTATGGAGTTTCTGTCTCTATTGTCTTTTTGTTTAATCGATAGCATTGATGCATACATACATACATAATATGTATATGTATATATACGTGGTCCCTAATATACATATTTTCAAATTGCCTTACTCCCAGGGGCTCAAATGCTTCTAGATTGATAAAAAGAATCTCTGAAAGTTTTAGCTCTTAATATTAACTTTAAGATAATCCGCAATCCAACCAAAGTTCCTTGGTTCTTCTTCCTGAGCAAATACTTATTTTTTAAAATATATCAAATTCTTCTTGTAAATTGTTTATTTATGATCAAAATAAGCAGATACAATGTTATTCTCAAAATTTTGATTTACTTGTCGCTGAGTTATTATGTTTAAAAAACGAATGGAATTATACCTATGTTACTTTCATAAGAAACTTTGGTTGGAGTGCGGACTATCTCAAAATTAATATTAAGATCTAAAACTTTAAAAGATTTTTTTAAAGAAGTTCTAAAGAGTTCTATTTATTCTGGAAACTATGTATGTTCCATTTTCAAGACATCTGTCATGAACATGATCTTGATTAGGAGATAAGCAGACAAAACAAATATAATGAAGATTATAAATTACAATACATTATATTTGTTTTAAATGTAGGCTGTATTTGATTAAACCAATTAAAAAACATTGTCTAGAATCAGTTGCACATTTTTAGATACAAGTTTCTCTAAACATGCATTGTTTAACTTCGTTGGTAGTTCAATGTGGACTAACTTCACGTATGTGTTATCAAAGGCACTTTAGAATGATGCACTTAGGGGCGCCCATTAATCAGGATAGAAGGATTTTTTGACCACCCTTCTTCTTGGTGATACGTAGTGATATTTAAAATTACCCCTCTTCCTAACTTCCTAACATCACGTATATTTTTAGTACCTAGAAAAATCGTAAAATTTTGGAATATTTTTCTGAAAAATTTTGGATTTTTGTAAAAATAAAAGCACGTGATATCTTACTAGACCCTTCCATCCCCCGCGTGATAAATTGTGATTTTTTCTCCCTTTAATGCTCACGTGATTAATGGACCCCTCTATATATTAAAATTGTTATATGAGGTTTGCGCATTTTGTAGGTTAGGTTTTATGTGTGAAACGCCTGATCGCATAGCAAATACATAGCTTTCTGACATTTTAAAGTTGTGTGAACTGTTAAATACACTTAGCAGCCGATTCTGTCGTAAAATATACCAATGTTATGGCAAGGCTATGTTATGTAGCAGATTTTATACAAAGTGAACATTTTGACCTTTCGAAAACCTTTACTCAAAACCTGTTATACTAATTTTAAAAATTTATGGGCCATTTGATGAATCCCGATAAGGACTCGCGTTAATTAATTCAAGGTAACAATCGGCCAAGTCGATTTTTACAACTTGCAGGAAAGTTCAAAATTTTTCTTTTAGGTTTATGCAAAAAATCTTGAACCAATTTTCAAATTAGAATTCAAATTCAAACTGTCTGAAAGGTATCAGTTGGTAATCCTGCTGAGTAGTTTTTGGTAAAATGAAGACAGTCATTTTTTTTAATTTTTATTGGTTGCTGAGCAGTCAGGCGTTTTAGATAGAAAATCTAACTTACAAAACGCACTAATGTAAAAAACGATGTTATGATAACTGAATTTTTGAGATATGACTTGATAACATATGAGTAAAGTTGAATTTTATGTGTATGACGCCTGATCATACAGCAAATACATGGAATTTTGACAGTATTTAGTAGCATTTTGTATAAAATCTGGAACGTAGCATAGTTTTGCCATAATATTGGTCTATTTTACGGCAGAAACGGCCCTAAATCTTAATACAATACTAGAGCATTGTCTGCATTGTATTTCTAAATCAATATTTCGTTGAACTTATTTTAAAAGTTGAAATCACATTATCCACAGTATTTTTTCTTTTGAATTAACTCTTTTGAATTATGTTTTGCATAAATTTTGAAATTTCTTCGATTTTGATCTATTGAATTATCTGTTTTCAATATTTTCGATTTTTGATATATTTATTTTTCAAATTTTTCATCTTTATAGAATGATTTTCAAAATATCATCTTAGTGAGGTTTGATTATGATTCTTCGCTTGGTGGAAAGTTGACTATTAAAAAATGTATCAATATTTTTTTGTAATTCTTAAAAGCAACGATTTTCTACTTTATATAATAATATAGTTTATAAAAACTATATCAATGTCCTATTACCTATTAGGAAGTTTGTAGGAAGAAAATTGTCGTACTTCTTATATATCATTTAATAAGGAAACAAAACAAAACTATGTTCCGTGGATTTTTTTTAAAAGTTATATGACATGTCTGCAAATTTAATACAAAATGTATTATTAAATAAATGTAATATCTGTAAATATTACACAAAAATGCAAAACAAATTCAAAACCGTCAAATCCATAAACGATTATGATTCAAATAAGTACTGAACTTACCTTCAACTTCCGCCATGACGGGTCCAAGTTGCCTTTTCTTATGCTGTTACTTCCTTATGCCACTATTTACCATCAAAATAACTATTCTTCAGATTTGTCAAATATAAAAATCATATAAAACAAAATAATATTAAAACTGTTGCTGGTGAAAAATCCATGTATCAAAAATATGAGACATCTATGAAAGAATAGTTGAGGTAGATGTGTTTTAGCGAAGTTTTCTTGGTTCGCGTCTTATGGTAATTTTATAAAAAATTGACATATGATGACACTACGGACTTTTGTTTTTGAAATTGAATGATTAGTAACTATTATAATCAAATATTATATAATAATAAAATGTATTTTCTAACTAGAGGTATATGGAAATGTGTCAAATCTAATTCCTTGAACTTATAGCTTTTAACAAATGTCAGATCTGCACGATCTAATTTGCATGAAAGTTGAAAAGGACTTTCTACATCACAAATCTTAAGAAAAAAGTAATTGAATAATATATTTAGAGTCGAAGGAGAAGTTAGTTTTTGCCAGAAAATCCGTTCTGATTCTACCATGAAAATTATAAAAAAACGTATTTAAGTCAAAGTTTAATCTGTCGTCAACGTTCTCTCAAAAATGGCACCGATTTCAATTTTTTTTGGTAAAATTCGATGAACACTCCTGTTTTCTCTTCGTAATTAGCAGATAATGTTTGGTTTACGCTTCAGACAAATTTGTGAACCCATTTCAAAAATTCAAAAACTGTTAGCGAGATATCAATTGGAATTGCATTAATTAATTTTAGGTAATTGGATTGGTCGGACCATTTCTTCATAATTAATTGTAGAATGATTTTTTACATTTTTGATAACTGTATGATGATAGAGTTTGTTATTAACAAACATCCTACATAATTGATTTAATTTTAGAAGTCAATCAAAGGAGTAATGAACCGTCAATAATTTAAAATCATATTCATTATTCAATTCATAATTTAAAAATTTTATCCTCACAATGAGGATATTTTATCATGATGAATTTAGTCGATTATTTACACATATGGGCAAAATTTTTGAATTTTGCCATAAGGCAAAATTCCACTTATACCTAGTAAAAGATTGGGAACCATTGAAAATTTAGAATATTTATAAAACTCTTATGCCTAAGAAAGTACTAATTTTAAGAAAATCAGGATTTTTGTATTTACCCTACACAACTATTCATATACAGAAGTATCTTAGAACTCAACGTCATACCGAAATGGGGTGTCGTCATTACCGGGATTGTCCTGAAAAACATTAAAAGAAATTATCTTACGTTGTTTAGATATTATGAGCTTTTAAGTGCAACCTGGAGGTTTCGTAAAATTGTTACCATTTTTTGGTTATTGTGGTTAATTTTTATTACTTTTGTGTTTATTTAAACTTTGGAACCGTAATAACATTTTAGAAATTCAGATACAATTGTCCTAAGTACTTTTTCTTCCTGACTAACATTTATTTATTGAGAACTTTTCAAAGTTCAAAACTGTATCCTACTTGAAATAGATTTTTTATTCTAAACAAATAATTAGCAATTAATCAAATGATTGTAATAAAACTCAAGTTTTATAACATAACAATTTTATTATTTTAATGTAGTTTTGCATTGATTTTGTTTTTGTTCTTGTCTTCCATAACTGGTATTGGGCCAAATAAATACACAGAACTGTTTTGGGCTTCATTTGAATAATCTCCAATGAATCTGGCATACAACTCTTGATAACGTGATAATGTTAGACCACCTCTTACTCTATCGGCATCCTGAAAATAAAAATAAAAAATAGTATCTATTAAATTAGTACATCTCATTAGTACATTTATACTTGTTCATCTATGATACATCTCTCAAATTATTTGTGGGCCAAATTGTTCGTCGCATTTTTTATGTAATGACAAGTTATAATGTTAAATGTAATGTTATATATATATATATATATGTTGTTATATATATTGTAATGTAAATGTCCCGTCATTATTATTAGTTATGTTGGTAATGGTGCTTTTCGCCCATCATCTCCATATATCCGCCATTTTTATGTTCATGTAAAACTATGTAAAATAAACTCTCTTTCCATGAAGATAGCGAAACGAGCAACACTAAAATAAATTGGTATATTTTGAAGGAATCATTTGTTACCTATTCGATAGGTTTAATACCTAAAATTTTATTGTGCAACTAGTCGACTATAATTGATGATTGTCAACGTTATCCATCAAAAAATAAATTTTTTTACTACATATTTTGTCAACTATCCACATATAAAGATATTTAGTAAATCTTTTGGATCAAAATGTACAATTTGACACTATAATAATTATATCCAGGTGTTGAAAAAACGCAGTCGCATTTTTTTCAAATTTTTTTTTTCCTTAATACATTTTTAACTAAATTTTCTAATTACCAAATTTTATAATTTTATAGTTACCATGGCCATGTGAATTTTTTTTTGATATCGTGTTAAATTCTTTGTATATAATTATGTTTTCTCTAGAATAAACAAATAAATTACAATCGCTGCTGTTTGTTAATATGAATACCAAGCATTCAAGATAAAATTAAGCATATTATTTTATAGGAAGTTATTGTAAACAACAAGTATGATGTAATATCGTTATCCTTAAAAATTTAGTTATATTAGTTATTGGAATAATTATTGATCAAATAGGTAATAAAAACCATTCATAAAAATAACAGTGTTAGAAAAACAACTATTCTGCGAAATGCACAAGATCGCTCCACCGTTTCGTCCTCCTTTATAACACAACACATGTTACCAATTACGTATTGTATCGTCGCCTAAATATAACTAAATTCTGAATGGACAGTCATAGAAAAGTTTTTCTATTTGAATCTTTGAAAACTACTGAATACTATCTCCAATTTTTGTTTGTTTGAAGGTAATCCATAATTAACACCAAGGATTGTGCTTTCAAATAAAAAAAGAAATTTGAGAAAATATTCAGTAGTTTTGTTCTATGCCATTTTCAAAAATAAAATTATTTGGCCGACCTTGAAATCTAAGACTTTTGTGAGTATTGAAATCGAGATCTTTGTGTTCATCTTATACACCTAGTAATATTATTTGTTTTGATAAAATTATACAATAGATTAAAATTACGTTAAGACATGGTTAAACTTGTTAAAAATTCATTAAAATAAATCGTAAAAATGATAAAATCATTTTAAAATGGTACGATTATAATTATTCGAGTATTCAGCGTTCCGATATTGCGTTTTTCTCTCTAATAAATATTACTCTAATATTTTTCTATAATTTACTAAATAAATACTGCAATTTGCTTACTTCTAGTAAGTTGTTATATGCTTCATCTATAGAATCTAATTCTAGAACAGGTATTCTTAAAACACAATCGTATCTAAACTCGTCAGCCGATATCACACCATCGCCATTCAGGTCAACTACTCGGAAATTGGACTCGATGAATGCCTTCATTGACTGAAAATAAAATAAATAAAATTATTAGTGATAAAAGCATATAAGATTAATAATTAAAATATTATTTTTAAAACCATAGTCATACTTGTCAAACATAATACAAAAATAGGTGAAATTCGTGACTTTTTTTAAAGAATATTCCATATTTTTCGAGTTTTAATAGCTGTAATTAATTCTTTCTCCAAAATTTTTTTTTCAACAATTTTTTCAAAAAAATTTTTTTACAAAAAATTTTGTCACCAAATTTTTTTTCGAAAGTATAGTTCATGGTTTTTCCCCCAAAAATTTTTTTCACAAAATGATCACCTAATGTTTGTAGGAAATACTTGTAATTCAAATTAATTCCTACAAACATAAGGTGAACATTTTGGGAAAAAAATTTGGGGAATTGAAAAACTCTGAAAATAATATACATTATACATAACAACATAGTTAATTCAAAAGCAATAATAGCAAACAATTATCTGTTATTATTACCTGTGGAAATTCTTCATAATGTTTACCAACACATGTGGCTTGTACTGCTTGTTTGAATTCTTCAACTGTTATAATACCATCCTATAAATATATATTTTTTTGCATTCTTTAGCAAATGAACTCAAGGTGAACTAATATGCACACCTTTTATATAATCCAAACTAAAATATTTATTCTTATGCATTAGTATAATAGAATATCAAGTTCAAGGAATGAATCATCATAAGACATGTTATACAAAAAATATTTAGGAACTATTCTTATAAGGATTATTAACAGAGTTTTTAACTATTAGTTATGTTATAAAAATTATTGAAGAAACATTTCTCAACATTGATAAAATTGATATAAATATAATAATTATTAAATATTGGCTATATGTTCTAATAACATTTTTTGTTAATGTTTTGCATTTCGCAATTCACAAATATTATTGACTGTGCAGGGTGTCTCAGAACTTAACTTAGGGGCAATAGTATTGACCATAACTGTCCTGCAAAAAATTTGAAAAAAATTATCTCACGTTATTTGGAAGTTATGAGCTTTTAAGAGCAACCTAAAGAGTTGTTGAAATTGTGACCAATTTTTGATTATTGTGGTTAATTTTAATTAATTTATCAACAATAACCGAAAAATGATGATATTTTTACCAAAGCCTTAGGTTGTACTCAAAAGCTCATATATTCCAAACAGTGTGATGTAATTTTTTTAGGACTAAGGTTAAGTCAATACTATCATTCCTTCGACTGAACGTTAAGTTCTTGGACACACTAAATATAGATTAAAATCAATTGTTGAATCAATTGTCATATTAAAGTGTCAAATGTAGTTAATCTATGATGATCTTCTTGATAAGATCAACATTCTAATTTTTTTACTGACGTGTATACTAAGGCAAACTACTCATTGACAATTGCCAACTGCCTGTCACTATTATCATTTTTTTCATATTAATGATTAGTATCATTTCTTACTTGGTTGAGATCCGCTATGTCGGCAATTTCTTCCCAAAGACTGAGCATCAGCCTCTGCTCATCCTGCAGGGAGGATAACGAGACCGAACCAAGACCTGCCCTGACCGTTGATCTCAGGGCAGTACACAGAAAATCGTCCCTGTTTAGATATCCGTTGTGGTCCACATCTGAAAAAAGAATAAATAATTTTTATATATTTTTCCTTCTTGATTAAAGACATTCAGCAATTGCAAAAATTATTCTTTGAGCTTGTGTGCTAATTGACATCACGTTTAAGGGTCTTCTCTAATTTATCATTGGACCTCTAATATTAGTTATATAGAGCTAATTGGTTGATTTTAAAGTCTTTTTATTTAGAAATTGTTTTTGTTAAGAAATTGGTATTTTTTTAAAATATTCTTGTTGGGACGTTATTCATAATTGGTCGTATACATTTGAGTGTTAATTAGTTCTTGGTCCTAGCGGTGGCGTAATCAGTTCAGACGTGGGCTAGCACAAACCATAGCCAAACCCGACATCTGGCAACTTTGATGGAAAATTTCTACTTGAGGTTAAAGATCTCAAATATAACGTCAAGTAAATATCGCCTCTTGTGGGTATAGTTTCATACATAATAAAAATGTTCACAAATACTTTAAGTATAGTGCTGTGTTGCATCCATTTAAAATTTACCTCTAATTATTATTATTCAGAGCTAATTAGTTTATTTTAAAGTCTTCTCATTTAAAAATTGGTTATTTTTTCAAGAAAAAAAAAAAAATTGGGATATGATTTGCAACCTGTTCTATACATTTGAGTGTTCATTAATTCTTGGTCCCAGCGGTAGCGTAATCAGTTCAGAGTGGGCTAGTACCAACTCTTACCAGGTTCGTCGGTTCGATCCCAGTAATAGCCAATCCAACATCAGGTAGCGTTGATGTCAAATTTCCACTTGAGGAATAGATCTTGAATATTACCTCAAGTGAAAATCGTTTCTCGTGGGTATAGCTTCATATACAATAAAAATGTCAACAAAACTTCGAATATAGTAAATTAGTCACAACTGGATTGGACAACTACTGGGTTACCATCCAATCAAAAAATAGTTATATAATCATTAAAATAAATACTGAATGTCATAGTGTGACGTTTATAATTAATAGTATAACAAAAAAAATTCTTGAATGGTACCAGTTACTGTTTTTTTGATCAGTGCGTGAACTGTGCAAGTGTTCAGATCGTTGTAGGTGATTTGTTTGTTGATATGGAACAAATATAGTGGATCTTAGTAAATGTTTATACAATTAACTTATAATAATAGGTTATTTATATAATTCATATTTGTTCAAATTAGATGTATTATCTTGAGGTTTGTTTTCGTCTAAAATCTGAATACCAATTATTAAGGAAACTTGAATATAAGTCGAAACAAACAATGTATTATGTATGTGGCTTAACGTTTATCGGAGGCCTTATGTTATATAAGAAAATTATTTATAAACGTTTCAACACTTGATTTAGGTATCATTTGAGCATCATTCAGAAAATCGTAACAGAAGAAAAAAATGTAATTTTTTTGCTAATAATATCATTTTTAATATTACTTTTTTGCTTTGTTTGCTAATAATAGGTTAAGTATAATTAATTTTCCAAAAAATTGTATGTTATAATTTTTATTTCTTTGTCATGGTTTGTTGTTTAATATTAATTAAAATTCATATAAAAGATGTTTTAATTTTTTGTATTTTGTTGCTCCTAATATGCTTTGCTGAGTGATTTATATCATATGTCGAAACTTTTAAATGAAGAATTATTAACATTATTGATGAAATGGCTGCTTTCTATATATCAAATGTGTAAATATAACGCACTTATTATGTTCATAAATATAGGTGCGTTTAAATAACAAATATATTAAATGAAAAGTTCTTATTTTCTACTTTCGAAAAAGTTTGATTATCATATTACATGCACTAAAGGTTCTAGCCATTTTTGTTCAAGCAAATTAAATACTAATAGTTTGCTTTATTTCAACCCGAGCTGTCGAACATCGTGCTAATAGTTCACAGATTTCAAAATATCCATAAATCTTTTTGAACAACATACCCGGTATCGATGCCAAAAGCAATAAATTTGTGCCGATACAAAAGATATTTAAAATCGTTCCTTGGCCATAGTTTATTTAGGAGGTGTTTGTTCTCTGGCCGACAATTCTAGGCAGTTTGGCATTAGAACGTCAGCGAGCCAACTCCTTCACCATGTTGATTTCTTCTTATTGTGTCTCTATTATTAACTTAACGATTGCAGAGCACAATTACGAATTGTTCGGGAAGTACTGATCTCAAAATATCAATTTATAAATATCAATCCGATAGACTGTAAGTCCGCGACTGGGTCTTTATTTTCGAAACTTTTTTAACTCGAAAATTTTCATTTTTGCTTTTTTTTGCGATTACTTTAACTTACTCTATGGAAAATTAAGAAACATTTTACTTGTATTGACGAAATGAATAGCTGGTAAAAGGCCCAGCGTCTCCGGAGGTCCAAAATGGCGGTCCGGCGGTCAAAAATGATCATTAGACATATGTACATTGTATTATCACATATTTTATAAAGATTATAATAATAAGTACAAATTTTGTGTACAATTATATGAGTACCGCTTTGACATTTCGACTCTAAATCAGCTAGATAGCACGATTGCTTTGAAAAAAGTTCAAAATGTTCAGAAAAATTCAAAGGATAAAAAAAAAATTTGAAATATAAAAAAAAATCTTATTTAATCTTATTGTATGGTATATTAGTAGAAATATTGTTACTTTGATTTAAATATTGTTATATTTGATAGAGAACATTAAAAAGAAACTTACTTAGTTCAGGGAATTGAATATATTTTCATTTCAATAAATTATTGGATTTCTTTTTCGGAGCGTAATACAAACTAGTTGGTTTGGTATTTTGCCTTGAGGCAAGTTACATGAACTTCCCGATATATTTAAATAATCGACTTAATCAAGAAAAAATAAATTAATTTATGAGTCATTAAATGTATTCCGAGTGGAATACCTCGAAGTATTTTTTAAAAGCAAATTTTCAAAAATTAATAATTTTTATATTTGAGCCAGTTTTTTGTAGGACTTTAATTGTTTAGTATGTTCATAAAGACCAAATACTCTATCGTTATACCAAGTAAATCGTCTAATTTTAATTTTAACAAATGTCAAAAAACTACTCATTTTCTCAAACTTTGATAAATTTTTATAAATAAACTACTTGTCGTAAGGCCGTAATATTTTAGTAAGTTCTATAAGACCATGATATATATCGCCAAAAAAGTTCCATAAAAATCGACTTAAATTTTTTTTTCAACAGTTAATTACAAGAAAACGGCTAGGTAGATTTTCACCTAAAACTAATCACTATCATTCCCAAATAATATCTTCCGAACAGTTTTTGATTTTTTTAAATCGATTCGGTAGTATGAGCTTAAATGTGGAGGAAACGTTTAACACTTTTTTCCAAATTACAAACGGCTCGGCCGATCGTCGCACAAAACTGAGAAACGATAATCCTCATCGAGATTCATCAAATGGTTTTTAAATTTCTGAAATCGGTTCAGGCGTTTTTGAGCAAACGTTGATGAAAGTTCTAATTTTGACAAATGCCAAAAAGACTATAATACTAATTTTTGCAAACTTTGACGAATTTTTAAAGGTAAACGAGTTGTCGTAGGGCCGTAATATTTTAGTATGATCTAGAAGACTATCTACCGTCAAAAAAATAATAATAATAATCGACGAAAAAAAATTGTTTAACACCTTATTACAAGAAAACGGCCCGGCCGATCTCTACCAAAAACTGAATCTTTCGAACGGTTTTTGAATTTTCAAAATCGATTCAGAATTGCGGGTTACAACGTAGACGAAAAATTATAAAGAAACGGCTTGGCCGATCGTCGCACAAAACTGACAAACAATAGTTCTCATCGAAATACATCGAATGGCTTTTAAATTAAAACACACACATACTTTTTCCAAATTTGGTCTCATTCGATTCAGAATGGCTTGAAACGTCGAGAAAACATAAAATTAGCGAATCGGATTTTTTGATGAAAACATAAATTTCTTCTTTGGGAAGTTAATAACAACAAAGCGATTGAATATAAATTTATACTATAATAAAAACATAGGACTCTATATTTTCAAACTCCAAATATCACTAATGGAGAATATATTTTAAAAATATATATAATTTTGTAAAAAACAATTAAACCTGGTCAATGCTTAGTAACCGTAGTTTTATGTGATCTAGATTGACATGGTATTGTTTTTATGTGACTTTTTTTCCACATAGAATATTAATCCTCATAAAAAATAAAAAAACATTAATCGGTATCAGTTATTTAATCAGTTCAAAGTTCATATACATTTGAAAATAAAGATGTCAGAAAAGAGGGATGCTCACTCCATGGATTATCAAGATCTTTGTGATGGACGTTTCGATGGAAATTTTATTCCACTGAGGGTTGCACCAGATATCATTAGGACTGATGCAAATAAAAATGATCCAAAGAAAAATGAAGAGGAGGATGAGATGGAATTCTGGCGATCTGTAGAAGGATCGCAAATATCTCCTCAGAAAAAGACAACATTGGCTTCTTCTCTTGAAAAAACACATGACCTTGTTGGAGAAACAATTTCTGAAGGAATCGAGAAAATGGTAATTAAACCTAATTTTAATTTAACTAAATCACTCGAGCGGCTCCAGCTCAATGCTCTTAATAGTACCAGAGGGGCTTTTAGAAAAAAAATTGATCAGAATGTTCCGACTGGCGTAAAGAAAGCTATGAGTTTAAAGGATTTAATGGAATCTGCCAAAAAAGGACCTATTAAGTTTGAAAAACTAAATCATCCTTTGGATACCATAGGTGATGTGCAGACTGATTTCAAGACCTTGGATGAATTGACGAGTTCTCACTTGAAAAACCCTGCCATGAGTAAGTTTCTTCTGCCAAATTTCAAATTAAATGAAACCTCAACCAGCAAGCAGAGTGTACCATCAGTACCCGATGACAATGTCTGGAACATCGATTTATCTACAGCATTGATAAAGAAACCAGTGAGAAAACGAAAAGTAAATAATCCAATTTCCAAGCATTTCTACCAGAATTCGCCCTTTTTTAAGCCACAGTTTTGGGACGATCCTAAGACTGTTAACGAAAAGAAAGAATGTTGCATGGATATTTCGCATATTTTGAATGCAGATTTGAAATCCATTAAGAAGAGATATTCAAGTTTTGGAAAAGTGTTGACTAGAAAGTACACCAGCGGTTACAAACCCAAAGTTGTGCACGAATATAAAACCGTGCATAAAATTGAATGTTTTAAGTTCGACACTCCTTCACCTGATGACATTGCGCGCAAGCTTCAGAAGAGATAAGAACTTATTGTTGTATGATTATCAACTTGAATTTATTAATTTGTCAGTTAAGTACAAGATAATGAATATACAAATAAAAAAGATTTTTTTTCTTTTTTATTATCACATGCTTCATTTATGCAATGCAATTAATGGATAATGTTATGAAATGATATAGGTAGTTAGTAGTAGGTCTAGGTATGGGTTGGGGGTCC